CCAGCAATTAAGTGGGCAAGGATAATAGACGCGTCCAAAATTGTTGACTCCGGCCATTTTCTTGTCTTTTTTTTTTTAAGGTTTTTGTCATTGGGTGCATGTGCTCACTGGAAAGAGACAAGGAGACAGAGAGAAGGAGACAGGGGAAGTAAGAAATCATCCCCAGAGGTGGGGGATGACCATGCTACAATCCTTTCTCATTCAGCCTCCTCTTCGGATTTTGGGCATGTCCCTGGCGTGGTTTTCAAGCTGCTGGGTTCAGGACTCTAACCTCGCTTGGTCCTGTGGGAGTCCAGCACCTTAACCACGATGCCACCTACTGGCCCCATGACTTTATTAAAACTGACCATCTTAAGGTACCCCAGGCAGCAGGTGGGCCAGAGCCAGGAGAATAGGAAGAAGAAGGGAAAAGAAACATACTTGAAACATTTGTAACCTAAACAAATTAACACAGACAATACAGTTGGAACAGCGCCGTGCATCAAGTAAGTGACCTGTGTTGGCCACCAGGCGTCAACGTGACTGTTTCTAAACCACTCTGTGAGGAAGGGGCCCTGCGTTTCTCTGTGGCAGGTGCATCCAACATCATGGAACAGACGTGGTGCTGACAGGCTGGGTTAGAAGTCAACTGTGGAAATCAAACCACGTTTTCTCACTGTCTCGCTTTAAGAGGGTAGATATAAATCCCCCATGTAAAGTAACTCACAGAAAAATGCACTACAAGGTTAAATAAAGAAGTGACACTCTGCAACACTTATAACTCAAAATAAGTACTACATTAAGCATTTAAAATATCCTTCACTAAACGGGTTCCCTAAGGTGAATCGCGGTTGCCCGGGTTTTATTTTTGAAGTTCTAAGTTCTCACTGTATGAGATGGGGTCATCCTTATTTGTAGTTATCAAAATAATTCTCAAGAAAGTGGAAATTTCTTTTTTTTCAGAGAATTTTTTGTTTTGTTTTGTTTTGCTATGGGGCACATGCACTCAACAGAGAGAGACAGAGAGATAGAAAGCAAGAAATCGCCCTCAGGGGGAATGGCCACACCACAATCCCTTCTCCTCCATTCTTTTCTCAGAATTTTGTGCACACACACGCACATCAAGCATGAGTTTTAAGCCACTGGGTCTGGGACTTGAACTGTGGTTGACTACGTGGGAGTCCAGCAACGTAACCATCCCAACAGCTGGCCCAAAAGTGAAAATGTCTAAAGAGCATGTCGTTCAGCCTCTGTCGCAGTACCGGATCAAGCATTAACCGTGCTGTGCCTCATTTCTAAGAGAGCTGCTGCGGTACACGGGACGAACACACAGCACATCACCAGAAAAGAAAAACACACACTTTCTGATGCTTTTGGTTTAAAAACAACTTTTTCTATCACCAGGGATGATGTTGGCAATCATTGCAACATGACCAGCCTCCCATGAAACAAGGGAGTTCACAGTCAAAAGTTTCGATGAAGTAGTTTCGATTATCTGCAAACAATTCAAGAATTGTCTAAGTGTAGGAATACTGAGCCAGTGTCTTCAACCCGCAGAAAACAAAAGATCTTTGAAAGCTGACTATTGAAAGCCAAGGCCAAAACTAGTTGGCTGTGGAACTGCAAGGAAGATGCGGAACCCTGCGCAGACCCGGCCACGGTGCGGAGAGAGTAGCACAGACACCTGCCGATCTCTGCACGGGGCACTGTGTGGCCACAGGCCAAGAGATAACCCCACCCGCAGATGCAGACGACTACGAAGCGTTTCATCTAAAGTGCAGCGTCGGGGTCTCAAAAAGCATCCATGATGGTGTGCTTTTAAATTACGTAAATTATTATGCAATTATTTTCTCAAATTAAAGTACTTTGCCAAGTCTAAACACTTAATAATAGGATCATTTAATATCTGAACCACATAGAGCACATAAAATTAAAATTTTTAACATATGTAGTCTTGTGGGGTTTTTGTTTAAAGAGAAGAGTGTCTTTAGCTATCACAAGCTCTGCGATGATTTTTTTAGAGGGATTTTTGCTATAGGGCATGTGCACTTGCTGGAGAGACAGAGAGAGACAGAGAGACATAACGTGAGAAACCACCTCCCCAGGGACGATGGCCATGCCACAATCCCTTCTTCTCAGTATTTTGGGCAAGCACGCACATGCACCTGGCATGGGTTTTATGTCACCTGGTCTGGGCCTCGAACTACAGTCGACAATGTGGGAGTCCAACGGGCATAACCATTATGCTGGTCCCAGGTCTGGAATAATTTAAAAGTCAGGGGGGCTTGGGTTCTATTCCTAAAAATCGGGCATGGTGTGGTAGGCCTGTGGTCCCAGTTGGTTGGGAGGCTTGCTAAAGAGGACTGCTAAGGGGCAAAACCATGTCTGACCCTGCCCCCCCGACACACACACACACACACACACACACACACACACACACTAGACTTAGACTCTCAATAAACTACCCCCGCTGGTCTCTTTCTTTATGGAGGGAGGTGCCTCCTGGGGCTCAGGCTTCTGTTTCAGTTTCAGGTCAAAGATAAATGAAATACACAGAAATTATTTGGACTTAAGAATTAACACTTCAAACTGGTATAGTCACATAACTCAATTCTTATTTCAAATGTTACAAAATAACAAGCCCCTAATAAGAACGAAGCCTTGGGGAAATCATTCTGTGGTCTGGTCACATGCTCCCATATTAAAGCTTCATCAAACAAAGAAGAAACACAAACCCAAGAAACAGAAGATTCACATGACAGTCTTCTGTGCCAGACCTGACTGTTAAATATAGCCTATTGTGAGCCTTCATCTTGATTTCGGGAGATCTTCCAGGAAAATTATATACTTTTTGGTGTTTCAAACAAATGTAGGAGATACTGTTATCAGCAGAATCCGATTAGAACTTCAAATCATATAATACCTGCTTGCCAAGATCGAAATCCTGAACCAGAAAAAAAAACTCTGAAAGCAGTGGCAGAATATAGTTCTAAACCCCTGGATTCTTGAATCTTCCTGTGGCCAGATCTCCTCCCACTTAGAACAAAACCCTCTGTTTGGGGTACCTACTCAATGTGCTCTCCCAACAGCTCAGTCTACGGGCTGAGAACTACCACTGCTACCTTTGCTGGTGCCCTTCTGAGCGTCTTTCCTCCTGCATTAAACATACACCCAGTGACACACAAGGAGACAAGGAAAGGGACACCAGGCATGTGAAAGGCAGAGGACAATATAAGGATCTTG